TTTTTTTTTAAATTGCAGATGTACATGTACTAATTTAGTGTGCTGTATGATGGTTTAATGGATATTACATACGCATTCTTTTGTCCTAATTTGTAAAAGTATATGTCAGAGTTCTTCTGGAAATATCTTTAAACAAGAATTTTATTCACTTAAATATTTACAACTTGTGTAAAGTGAAAATGAATGTAACTATAGTGAGCAGTGTAGCTTTGCTCACATTCTTTGATGTTTGCCAAAAGAAGAATAAAAAGTGAATGAATTAAATCAACCTTGGCTGTTCGTTTTGTCATTCTTTAACAATTTTAGAATTTTGAAACAAACTCAATTAGCTTTAGAATTTTTTCCAGCTTTAGAATTTTAGCTTTGGAATATTTCCAGCTCTTTACATATAACTGAGAATAAGACAGTCACATATTCTTGCATGTCAGGGAATTGAGGTAAAGACAGTGTGAGCATAGCGTTATGCCCCAGTCAGGAAGATAGCGTACTAGCCGGTTAAATCATGGCTTTAGAAATAAAAGTTTAGAACCTTTTAGAATAATGAGTTTATTTAGGATAAATTTTAAGGTTGTTTTGAGATTTATGAGTTTGTTTTTAAGAAAATGGTGCAAGAATGTGTAGTAATGAAGTTTATGCAGTTGCTCTCAGTGTGAGGTTAGTATAGTTGTCTTTGATACAGGTGGTCGTGGACTAGCTGAAGGCTCAGTTCAGTTGATTTGCTAAGAATTTAGTTAATTTTGTACTTTCTGTAGACTCATGGGGTTTCCTTTTGTTTCTTTTTGTGAAAAGGTCTCATTAATTCAGGCTTTGTTGTTGTTGTTTTTTTTAATTTATGTATTTGGTACAGGGTCTCGCTGTGCAGCTCAGACTTGTAGTGATCCTCCTATCTGAGCCTCCCAGCATTGGGGTTATAGATGTGCACCAGTGGGCCTGGGGTGGGGCCCAGTACATATGGTACTGGGGATCAAACCCGGGTCCTTGTGCTTGCCAGGCAGGCACTTAGACCAGTTAACTCTCCCCAGCCCACTCACTATGTAGCCCAGGCTAGCCTTGAACTCAGTCTTCCTGTCAGCCTCATGACTGCAGTGATTATAAGTGTGCACTGCCATGCTTGGCCTAGGGTTGTCAAAACCAAAGTGATCAGTATGAGTTTCTGAATACTACATAAGTCACTATCTTCTTGTTAAGTTGCTGAATTGAACAATTTCTGAATAAAGATACCTGAGACTATATCCTGTTGCTTTATTTCCGTGTCATACTTGTGTACAATTTCAGCCAATATGGTTATCAACATGGGGATTTAGAAGAACTCCAATGCATGAGTTTGATAAGGAAAAATAACAATCTCATTTTAAAAAGTTGCTGCTTTTGAATCTGGCATTCTGTACCTCATATGCTGTGATGCCAGCCTAAAATTGGAAAGGCTTTATATATGTAGGCGTGAGCTTCTCAACCATGGCCCTGTTGATGTATTGAGCTGGATAATTTCTTTGTTGTGAGCTTCTTCTGTGCACTCGATATTTAGCAGCACCCCTGGTGCCTAGTTACTCAATACCAATAGTACCCCCTCTAAAGTTGTAAAAGCAAGAAGATGTCTCAGTGGAGTCAAATTGGTCTCAGTTGAGAACACTTACTAGATCTTAAGTTTTATTGCTAGTGAGGTTGCCAAGTTCTAAAGAAAACCATTTAGAACCGAGATTGGTCATATTAGCTATTCATCTGCTTCTCATGACTTTTCTGGACTTCTCATGAGCCTCTTTTGAAAAGCTCTATAGGTCTTAACTATTTTCTGTGTATATTCTTAACCATGGTGGAGTGTTTATTTGGCTTTTGAAATCACTGTTGGTAGCATTCAGGATAGACAGCATTATGCTCTAGCAATGACTTAGAAATCTTTGGGTCTTGGTATCAGTAAAAGTACTGTCTGTTGTGTAGTGTGCAGGTGGACTGGGGCTCTACTCTGCTCCTGCACACTAGGACCTAAGCCTTTGGAGTTGTTGCACTCCAGAGCTGCTAGAAGAGAGCAGTCAGAAAGGTCTCACTTTGGCAAGTAAATTCTCTGGCCTGGAAGAAGCATTTACATTCATTTCGTTTATTGGCTAAATCAGTTCCATGGCTTCATGCATGTAGGAGAGGCCCAGAAGAACAGCCCTGCCCTGTATCTTGAAGGAGGAAGTGGGAACATGGGAATATCTGTGAACTTCATTAAGCTCTGTAACTTATACTCGTGGTAGTGGCATTTGGGATCAGACCTGTTTATATCTTGGCCTTCGCACTTCTTAACTATCTTTCTGAGCTTTAGTTTATTTGATTTAAAGTAGGAATACCATTTTCGCTGCTACAGAATCCCAAAGAAAAGTAGAGAAGTTTAGGTAGTAGCATCATTTTACCATATTTAGACAATTTAGGAGAATAGTGGCTATTTTCTGGGTAGTTTTGGTTTTTGGTTTTTCATTTTGTTCTGTGTATCTTTGGAAGTGGAGACAGAATTATAACAGGACATCATACTCTTGGAACTAGAAGAGGCACTATCCACGTGATCAGAGCCTTGTGACACTTGAATGGGGAGACCTCGCTGTTGACCTTGGCCTTAGTCTTGATCATCAGTGTGTAGGAATTTTTAAGAACTTGTAGGATATTGTGAGGCCAGAAAGTGTCTGATATAATAAAAGTTCTCCTTTCTTTAATTTCCCCAAATTTCCCATTTACATTTTGTTTAGAATTTACCTGGCAAGATTCTTGATCTGTGTAGTTTGTCAGGTTTGGTGATGTTACCGATAAATGAGTTCTTAAACTCTAAATATCTGAGTAAATTAGCATCAATTAGGAAAACATCTTTCCTAAACTCACAAAGAATATTCAAGTGCTTTTAGAACTGTTTGTATATACTGCATATTTGCAAAGCTTGCTGAAGGATGACAACATTTGCACATGGAGCTTGTGTTGGTTACTTTTCTCATTGCTA